ATGAATTAAAATTATATTATTTAAATTATATTATTATAATGATTAGTTATATTTAATAACTAATCACATAAATGGAAGGAAAGTTTGTTATATTAATAACTAATCACATAAATTAAAAGAAAGTCTGTTATATTAAATAACAAATCACATAAATTGAAGTAAATCACTAAGACAACTCAAAGACTTTGCATAACATATACCTAATATTATCTATAAATCACTATAAACTACTAATAAAGCCTAGCAACATTCAATTTCACCAAATATCAATACATATAATTTTTTAAATAAAATTTACCTTAAAAACTTAAAAATAATATTAAATATATTTTATTATAAAATTAAAAATGATACAAAATTCACAACAATAATACATAAAAAAAATTACATTTTCATAGAAATATAATTATAATAAGGATTTGATTGGTTGGGATCCATTTGATAAATAAATAAGATTGAAAATTGAAAGAAAAAAATTTAGAAGTAAAACTGTGTGTAAAAAAAATTAAAATTTCTATAGAATTTATAGAAGATAAAAAATGATAACATGACCGTTACTATTTTCAAATATCATACCCTTACTTTAATGTTGTTGGAATATTTGAAATATTTTATTAATATTAAATAATATTATAATAGGTTTCACATTAGTTAACGTTAACTATATAGATAATTGGTACTAAATTTTAGTTCATTTGAATGTCAGGTCAGCTCTCCTATAATGCAAATTCCTTATTACTAACGGAAGCTAGAATTTTGGTTCTTATGTGAGCCTAATATTAGAAAGAGTTCTAATTTTATCTCTCCCGCATCATATAATTTATATTATGAGGTGTCTAAATTCTAAAACTATATCATATTATAATAAAGATTTTAATAATAATAATTTTTTAACAATTTATAACAATAAATATTAGGGTTTTAGAAAAATAGAATGGAATAGAAAATATTAGGATTCCTCCTTCTATAAAAGTTTTGCCGTTTCTTTTCATCCCCTACTTCTCGTTTAGCTTACAGTTCCATAGATCGGGGTCACAACATAACCTACTCAGCTATGAAGATTCAGAGGGTTGCAATAGGGTTTCTTGTGAGGAAAAGTTTTAAGAAGATGGTGAAGATGAAGGTGGAGTTGGAGAAGATTACAAACAAGGTGAATGATGAAGAAACTGTGAAGATGATAAAGAATGTGCAAATGGAGAGAATAAAGATCGATGGAACCATCACGAGTTTGCTTCTTATGTTAGATTCTGTTAGAGTGTTTCGTTGTTGTGCTCTTAGGGGGTTGAGAAAGTCACTCATTAATAGAGCTATTTTTCTTCTAGAATTTGTTGATAAAATTCAAATGGTGGAGGAGAAGAATGAGGATGAGGATGGTGAAGGTAAATACGTTAGGGTTAGGGCAGCGACGAAGATTCAGATGGTTGCGAGAGGGTATCTTGTGAGGAAGAGTACGAAGAAGATGTTGAAGCTAAAGGTGGAGTTGGAGGAGATTGAGAAGAAGGTGAATAATGAAGAAACGGTGATGATCATGAAGAAAGAGCAAAAAGAAAGAATAAGAATCCGCGAAACCATCATGAATTTGCTTCTTAGGTTAGATTCTGTTATAGTGTTTGATTGTTCCCCTCTTAGGGAGTTGAGAAAATCACTTATCAATAAGGCTATTTTTCTTGATGAATTTGTTGATCAAATTCAAATGATGGATGAGAATAGGGAGATGATAAGAAGGATGATGGAGGATAATGAGAAGCTAACTTCAGTTCTTACATCTCTCACACAAAGAGTGGAGCAGCTTGAAAGAGCATTCACTAGTGAAAAGAATAGGAGATATGTTAATGCAAAATGAAGATATAATGAGTTTTGCTTTATTTTATTTTTTTATCATTTTGCCTATATTTTTTACAGCAAAAGAAACTGTTTTGTTTTTCAATTATTCAAACATAGTGTTATTGATTACTCTGAATGGCAATGAGTTGCACTGCAACAAGGTTGATAGAAGCTTAACATGATATTTTGTCAACAGAAATTCTTATACTCTTTTTGTTGTTTTTCCAGTATGGAAGTTACCTACCTGCTCCATATTGCATTGTTAGCACCAAAGCTAGACACAATTTAGGACAAGAGAAAAGATAAATCCAGATAAGGACAGTGTCAAACATGAATGATAAGGACTTATTAGGACTTGGTAAATGTGCAGGATTTATTAGGACTTGATATGAAGTTTTACATGGATATGATAAGAAGTTTAAATCATAAGGACTTGAAATATTAGGACTTGATAAACACATAATATAATAAAAAGTTTAACATGAATATAATATTGATGAAAGTAATATTCTCTCCGTCCTCGATGAATGTTTTATTTGAAATATTAGATTGTCCTAAAATGAATGATTTATTTCAATTTTTAATACATCTTTTTCAATTTTATTTTTTTATTAATATGACTTTCATCATTCCCAATACATGATAAAGATATTTTAATAAAAATATCATTATCTCTTTCATTTATTCATTTTTTTAAAATTTGTGTAAAATAATCAACTGAATCACTCTCTTGTAGAACTAGATAAAGGGTAGAAATTCTTCTCAGAGTGGAACTAGATAAAGGGTAGAAATTCTTCTCAATCTTCGGACAGACTGACGCTTAAGATGTCGTCGGAATCGTGTGGAAATTCTCGTATACATGGACTTAGTAGCAAATTGTTAGGGTTGGAAGATTCAAGAAGCGATATCGAGTAAAGATTATGCATAGAGTTTAGTTTGTGGAGCTATGTACAAGTCAAGATCGCAAAAAGAAGAAATTTAATTTTCAACATGTATTTTTAGGCTAGTAATTGTATGAACTCTTGTAGCATAGTTGCAAATCATAGTGGATGACCAACGAATTTTCAATGGACAACCATTGGAGAGTGGATTAGGTACAAACTGAGGACAAACATGTCAAACAATTATAAATTCTAGTGTATCTCTTCTCTCTCTCTCTCTCTCTCTCTCTCTCGTTAATTTCGTAGTTGATCACATGATTGAGTTGTTTTTATTGCTTTTTAAAATTGTATGTTGATGGGATTTTCTAGTGGTAACGATTTATCACATTAGTTTTAGATTTTATTAGAATTGGTAATTCAACATTGTCTTCGTGTTGATTAAATTTGAAGACTTTGATTGTAAAATCTTGTGCGTGATTGAAAATCATTTGATAATACTTATGGAATTGAATGATTTTACATTACGATTAGTTTGTCCAATTGATGTAATTAATTAGTTCAACTTGATATAATGTAAATTGTTTAAGTACATTTGTGAATCTATAAATTGATAAGTATAATCTCTTTTACGTTGAATTTTCTTTCACCGCACAAAATAAACTATGTTTTTCAAACACTTTTTAAAACATCTTTTTAACTTGGGAGGAGGTATATTCACCCTCTTCTAGACCGTTCATAGCCCATATTTTCATCCAACAAATTTTGCCACAGTAAATACCCGGATAGCGATGGGAAGTACGAGCGATGTTGGATTGGAAGGTGGATCGTGAATCTCCAGCTTGATCTTCATGCAAAATTGCCTTCGGACCTCGGCGTAAACCTAGATTTGTATCTGAGATTCTTCCTTTTGTTATTTTGTGGAGTTCCCGAGGAAATCAGAGATCCAGACTTTGAGAAGATTGGAGTGAAAATGAAGATTGATTCACTCGAATGCGACAAATCTATATGTTTGCTTCTGAGCGCTTCTCGATTCTAAGATATGAGGAAGTTGCGACCAATGGAGTTGGAAAGAAAATACAAATTCATGGAAAGCGTAAGAATCAAAAGTAGATTTGTTCTTGATTCGATGATCCAAGAATGTTACAAACTAATAAATCAGAGATTAGATTAGAAATTACAAAAATCGTAAAAATCAGAAGTTAATTTCCATAGACAGCATCATTGTTCAATTCGAGAATCAAAAATAGATTTGTTCTTGATTCGATGACCTAAGAATGTTAGAGACTAAAAATAAAGATTATATCAGAAATTGTTGAAATCGCAAAAATCAAAAGTTAATTCTCACAGATAGTATCACTATTCCGTTCGAGAACAAAAAGAAACAACGGATTATTTTAGATTTATTGAAATTTGCTCTTAATATATTATTAATTTCGTTTCTTTATATAAGAGACAACTGATTGTTTTAGATTTATTGAATAATTAATGTATTTAATCAATTTATAGATCACATATATTAATAATTTAATAAATCTAAAAAATAAAATGTCTTATATATAATACGAAGATAGTAACTAATTTATATTTTGAGTCAAATAAAATAAATTTGAGATAAAATCTACTAGTAAAAAAAATTAATAAAAAGAAAACTTCAATGAAAGAATGATGATTTAATGGGCATAGAATAGGCACTCCTTCCATTCTGCCGAGTGCCGATAAGGAATAGACCGTGGAAAAAAATCTAAAGGGACCCACCCGTGCCAACCAGACAATCCGATTCATTTTCTGATTCTCTGTCCATTTGACAAGATTCGACAGTTATCTAGAACAAAACAAAAAATTATACAGGGACCCACTCATGCCACGTAAGCAACTAGTTAATCTCATTCTTCTCTTAACACAACAAGTTACAATAATACAATTTTGAGGGTGGTTTCAATTCCGGATAGAGTCACACATATTGAATCTTAAACACGTTTTTAATATGAAATGTCGGTGTCAGATTCGAAAACATGTTATTTTAAACACGTTTTTAATATGAAATGTCGGTGTCAGACTCGGAAACACGTCGGTTTCATGCGAATACGACAAAGGCACGTTAATATACACATTTATTTCTGGTTGAAAAATATGTCTAGATAAATTAAGCTCTACAAACTAAAATCTGAAAACAACTCAAATAAAACCAAATCTAGAAACACCAAACCATAAAACGCTGCAATGAGGTTTCAAAGCAGTCTAAATCTAGTCAAAACCAAAAGCTACTATTTACAAACATAAAACATCATTGATACTTCAAGAACAAGACTTCATCAGACCTAAATTGTAAAGAAACTTCTCGGACCTTGATCGAACGAGTTCGCGTAAGGAGAATCTTCCACTCTCGCGTGACGGAGAATTCGTGCAGATCTCGTCGTCCTTTACGCGTAATATAGACAATCCAATCTCCTTTCGAACTGCTTCGATTGTTTCACTCTTAACTGGATTTCCAGACACGTCAGTCACGTAGAAAACATTCATCGCTTGTGAACCCCTTGTTGTGACCTCCGCGCGGGAGACTGATAGGCCGTTTTCTCGGAAGATGCGAGTTACGTCGGACAAAAGGCCAGCTCTGTCTTCACTGCAAAGTTCAAGCTTTACGCCCTATTTCAAATACAAACCGCCGATTAATGATGCATCGTTAATGATAAAGCGACACTTAATTTGAAACGGGGAATACAATACCTCAGAAGTTCGCCTCCGAACAGCAGCCTCCAAGCAGTGAATCACTCTTTGCCTTTCGGATTCGGAACTGATAGGATATCCATCGACATGCCTTATGTAGTATTCCTGCAAAAACACGTCGGGTCGGGTCAAACGGAGTCGTATCAAGTCTAACTCGAACGAACATAAAAGTATTGAAAGAAAAACCTGATATGCTTCTGGTCCTTCAGCAATGACAGTTCCATGGTACACAACATACTGCATGTCAGTGATTGTGAAAACAGTATCGAATATAAGCTTTGGTCGATCCGGACACCGCAAATTCACGACAGTATATCCCTTATCAATGCAATCATCAACAGTTACACAGAGCTTATTTCTGTCACTTGTTGCGCAAGAATAATCACCGTCGTATACATCGTAATCACGATCAGCATACATTAACTGATGCAGCCTCCTTTCTTTATGAATCGAACAAAACGAAACAGAAGTGTTTGCGTTCTTCTTGTCCTTCTTGTCGATGTCTCCTCTCAGCACATAAAGCAGAAGATGCTTAATCTTGGCAAGACGGTCATGATTGTCTATAGGCAATCCTGTCGCGTCGTCGGTAATGTAAACGACCGACGCCATTCTTGAATTGTGAGTCCAGATATCGGCCGCTACCACATTGCATTTCAGGTCAGAGAGAATAGCAAAGACTTCTGAAAGCACTCCTGGCCTATCGCGTCCGGTTAACTCGATTGTCGTATGTTCAGCGGCAGCTTGAACTCCAACCGACCTCCTCACAGACCGGAAACTATTGACTCTTTGACCAAGTGACTGCAACAAAACAAAGCAAAAAGTGTTATTAGTTCATTAAAAGCAAATGCAGCCAATGCAGATGCGGACACAGTTACGATTACGGTCACGGACCGAGAACCGAGAACCGTGGAAACAATGATATGATGACTCATGATAACAAATTTGAATCTAAAAACTAAAATCAGATTAGTATTACAAACAGATCTACAACCTGTTGAATTCTGTCAGCAACATCTTCTTGAAGACACTTTTTCCCATTTTGATCAGTAACATGAAAAACTGAAAATTATCAACAGAAAAAAAAAAACAAATTTTTTAATGAAAAATAATGGTGATTAATTAATTAATTAATTAATTAATGAGAAATTAAGAATAATTATACCATCCATAAACCATTCTCCATCAGAAGAAATATAAGCTCTTCTAACAATGAGATTCATATCAGTAAGAACTTGAACAACTTCCAACAAACTACCACGCTTATTAGCACTATCAACCTACCACAAAATTCACATCCAATATTTCGTTAAACAAAAACGACCCTTTTGAAATTAACCAAAGATTAAGCGCTTATAACGTTCAAATTTCAAACCTTTATCAAAGTGGTTGATCTTCTTGAAGTATTATCCACAGTTACTCTGCAACAACAAAAAAAATCAGTTTTTTTATAACAACAGCAATAAAATAAAAAATAAAAAATAAAAAAAAAACAGAAATTGGAGAATGAAAATGAAGATGTTATTGTATTAACTTAGGTGGATTCATTCGAATTACAAGCTTTTGGAATTCATCATCAAGGGGAATAGAAGAAGTCCAAAAATCCATAGTTATGGGTGAAACAGAACAGAACAGAGGATGAGTCAGAGTGTGTGTTTTTTTGGGGGTGTGTGAGAAATTTTACTATTTAATTTGGATATTTGTGTTGTGTCTTTGGTTGTTACACTTTCCTTGTACTACCTTTGAAATTGGGATTTGGTTTTTTTGGGTACTTTGGAATTTGGTCGGGTGATAGAATTTGTGTATAAGAAGAACAAGAGTTCCTAGAAAACACAAAATAACACTCTCAATTAATATGAATATTTATTTTTAAGTTTTTTATCCTTAATTAAATGGCCATAAATTAACATAACATATTTAACAATATTTTAATAATGAATGTTTAATATTACAATTCACAAATATCTATATTATTAAATTTATTATTTTGTTCCCAATTTTAACCTAAAATTTTAAAGTGGTTTGTGAGTTTCTAACCGATTATCGATTATTGTCAGTTAATCTACGTATAACAAAATTAATAATAATATTATTATTGCAAATTATTAATATCAAACCTAAAGCAAAGTTTAATATGGATTCACTAAATATAAAAATTATTAGTAACGAAGTAAAAATTAGATTAATTGATTCAATAAATTTGGACGAAAGAATTCAAATTTAATATTTACATTATAAAGTTTTGGTCCTTCGCCTATTTAAAATTTTTTTAAAAATAATTATAACTTTAATCGATAAATACTCCTTCCATTTTTTTCATTATAAGTTGTTTTTAATTTTTTACACGAATTATGTATAAAAAGATAAATTAAGAAAAATTTAAATTAACCTTTATTAGTTATATAAAAAAGATAAATTAAAAAATTAAAAGAAGATAATATAATAAATATTAAAAGATATAATAAAAAATATTATTTATTCATGATTCATTAGTATTTTAAAATATGTTATAATTTAATATATAATTTGTTCCCCGAAAGAGACTTATATTGAAAACAGACAAAATATCTATTAACATCTTTAAAATATTTAATATTATTTATTACTATATTTGTATAATATAAAAATAGTGAGTTATGATTTGATGTCTATATAAAATTTATTTTTTATTGTGAATACATAAATATAATTTTGAAAACTAAACCAAAACATCTTTAAAGAAATCCTCTCCGAATCAAACAGATATATTTGATTTATAAATAACAACAAAAATATTATTATATATGGTTCATTAGTTATTTGAGTGATTTCGTTAAGAAAAAATTAAGTTAAAAAGCTAACCGAAATAATTATTCTTTAAAATTTATTAATTTTTAAACTGAAACTATTGGATTATTCAATTTTTTTAGAAGTTAGAAGATTACGAGAGAAAAAAAATGTTCAATTTGATTTTTAAATATTGATTTATGATAAATAAATTTACTTTTTTTAAAGTTTTTTTAAAACTACTTTTTTTAACTCTAAATATATCTCAGTATTATATTACTATATAAATGTTATTTAAAACAATAATATTTTATTTTTATCAAAAGATATATTATTAAAAATGGTAAGATAATACAATAAAAGATTTATAAAATCATTTTTTATATTTTTATGATTGTTAAAATAGTATTCAACGATTAATTAATTTGGTCAAATAATAAACTAAGAAATTGGTTTGAGTGGAAGCTATTCGGATATTTTAATTTTTAAAACATATCCATCTTTTGACTAAGTCAACAAAACAATAATGTTTATGCAAGTTGTCAATTAATAATCAATTGAAGTTATTTATGTAAAATAAAGTTGGCTATGGTATTTTTAAAAGCTTATTATCTACCGCACAAAATATAAAACATTTTTGTATTTAACTTTAAGTGAGATAAAATTACAATAAAACCATGATTTTATTAAAAAAAATAATTAAAAAAAACTTAAATAATTATTTAAAATCTTTATTATTATTTTTATATCTAATATAAGACTTGTTACTCATACATGATACACACATTAATATACAATAATATTTTAACTTTTTCTTGGTCACAATGTCTCTTATGTTTTTATGACATACCTTAATATCTCATTTGATCCATAAGACATTAAATGTGATGATATTAGAGTTGCATGCATATCAACTGAGTTTACCTTACTCTTGGTCTGAGTCAATATAGAAATGAATAACTTTTGTCTTTATTACAATGTTTGAGGACAGACCAAACTTTTTATAGGAAGTAGGATGCAAGAGAAATCACTAAATAATTTTGACTATTGTCCATTGTGATTTAATATAGTTTGTTGTTCATACTTCACACATTTAAATTATTTTTATAATTAATATTTATTTAAAAAAAAATTATTTAAATTATTTATAACTCAGGAATAATATAAGTCTAATTAGGTGAGTTGTGTGCAACATCATATTTTACATAAATAATAAGAGCGGACATGCATACTATGTGGATTTTGCATCATTCTTGCTATTGTTTGGTATATCTGAAGTCATATATATATATAATCAAGGCATGTATGTATCGAGTAAAAAACTATTTGACCAAAAATTCTATCTTATGACATATATATAATCAAGGCATGTATGTATCGAGTAAAAAACTACTTGACCAAAAATTCTATCTTATGAGAGTGTGATCCTTTGACAATCTCATTGAGTCTAAAAAGTGAAAAAAAAATCAACGTCACATCCCTTAGACAATTTTTTAAAATTAAAAAAAAAATGTTCATCACCGTGTCTTAAGGGTATGAGAGTATTAAAAAATGCAAAGAGTATGTCGGGAAAAAATTGGAGAGAAAAGAAAAAGTTTGAAAAATTAAGTAGTAAATGGTGAAAAAAAAAGAATATATTTTGACAACAAAATGAAGAAAGAAAAGAAAAGAAATCAAATGTCAAAGCATACAAAAGAAAGTCATCAAAAAGAAAATGTTGTAAGGTGGTAAGAAAATAAAAGAGACTTTTTAAAAAACAAATGATATACCAAAATTATTTTGCTCTCTTATCTTTAGACTTTTTGAATTCAAAAAAATCAAATAATTTTGTAGCCTAGTTTGTTAAACCAAAAGAAAGCCCTTAGTGATCCATGACTGATGATGTATTTTGTGATATTTCTTAGATTAAATACAAAATGTTTCTATAGTTTATGCATTTTGTTCCATAACGTGGGAAATGTAATATCTCGAATTCAATTAATTTATTTAATTGAATTTTTATCGTTTTTATTTAATTATTCAAGTGACTTAAAATATTTTTAATAATTTAATTGGTGATAATATGTTTTATGTGGTGATTGGAAATTATTATAATTTTAATTAGTTTATTTAATTAAAATAGTAGAATATTTATTTAAAAATAAAAAAGAGAAATAGTGATATTGGGGCAAAAATTAGAATTATTAGAAAAGTAAGAAAAATAGGAGAATGTGGAGATTAGTAGAGGGGTAAAAGTCTGAAGAAGAAAATTAATTATATTTATAGGTTAAAATAAATAGTAAAGGGAGATATGAGTCAAAGTAAGAAGAAGAGAAAAAAGGTTTAAGGGAGGAGAAAATCATCATAGCTAAGGCTTGAGGATTGCTAGAAATTCAAGTAAATGAGGGGGGAGGGGTGATAACACGAAATCATATATATATTTTGATGCATAATTCAACTGATGTTTAACCGTTTTCGATCCGATTTCGGGTTATTTCCGTGTTATTTGTCTGACACTTTGCAGGTATTTGATGATCATGTCTAAACAAGGCAATACGAAGAAAAGAAGCAATCTCAGATGAAATATGGACGAAAACCGGATGAAAACATCATGAAAAACACAGAATGCTGATTTTGCTGCTGTGACGACCGTCACAGCTCCATGACGACCGTCACACACCGTGACGACCGTCACACACCGTGACGACCGTCATGCAGGCAAAAACGCCCCACTTCAAATGCACGTAAAAGAAGCAGTTCCAAGTCCCAAATAGTGGACCACTACTCCCTGATAATTCTGCCTCAAAGTCCACCTTCTTCAAGTTATAACCGTTAGAATTCAATTTCTATAAAAAGGGGAAGAAGGGGAACTCAAAAAGGGAGCCGCGTTCAGACAACGAAGTGCTGCCAATTTATCTTCAGAGCAACCTTTCCAGTTTTTAATATTTTTATTTGTTTCTCTTTTCTTTTTCTGCATTCCTTTCATTTCTTCTATAATTCTTATTTCCGTTGTACGATCAATTGGCACAAAGACCAGAATCCTGCCAACATTTGTGGAGGATCTGCCCAAAGGTCAATTGGAATATTTACAGGTTTCTCATTTTAATCATAATTCTAGTTTTTATTATGATGCATGCTATTATTTATTGTTTTCATTTATGTTTTACCTTTCCCAAATCCATGTCTAGCTAAATTAAAGTAATCGATATGTAATAATAATTCGAAAGGGATTTGATAATAACCGGTTGAGAACTGTCTTTTTCAAAAGTTGTTTATGGTCTGAGTGTTTAAAATTAATTTACTAAATAAACTTCGTCGCGAAAGCGAGAACTTATTTAAAAGTAGTTTTGCCACAAAAGTGGGAAATTAATTAAGGTACGAACCAACAAGCGAAAGCTGCGGCAAGACTAGATAGTAAACACTAGTCATTCATTTTAATAACAGCGAAAGCACTTTAAAATGAATTAGAATTTAGAGATTTCCAAAAAATAATTTTAACCCCGAATAGGACACGAAAGCGTACGTTTGGCCCTTAGAATTATGATTAGCGTCAATAACCATCGTGAGGCGAGAGTCTTCAAATCACCATTTTCTGCTTAAATAAACTCTGAAAAATATTTCGTATACCGGTAACTTGTCAAATCCCCGAAGAACATAATTACTGCATATCGATTCAATCAATTATAATTTAATTAACATTTTTAGTTCCCTTTAGTGACTCCCTTAAACATTATCTACCTAGCTAAACATAGTAACTCCCGAGAACACTAGTTTGATTACGAGTCCCTGTGGGATCGATATCTATTATTACTACGCGATAGACTGTGCACTTGCAGTTAGGTTGTATTAGACATAGAAAGTCG